TCATTCTTGCAGGTCATATCGCCATGCGTGGCAACGTTTCGGGAACCTGTCCGGTCCCTTCATCAGGCAAACAAAAGTGATGATCAACCCATTGTAGGACTTTTCAGTGCAGACTGAAAGCAGAAACCCACGCAGATGAAACATGAGGAGCATCCCATAGTCAGAGGTGGCCTATGTCTCAGGCTGGCTTGTAGTCGATAGGGTCAAACGCAACACAAAGACCATAATTCCCACCTGCTTCTGTGTGGGAAGGTTGTCCTAGGAAAATTTTGGCTTAACAGTCTAACATATGAATTTTTGATCAGATATGGATGTCTCCTCCTATATATGGACATATAAAGGGGAAATTGGATACTATACTCTGTGGATGGGCATATCAGAGTGTATTGGGTCTCTTTATGGTCCCCTGCAACCCTAATCAACATATGAGGTGTTTTGCAAATAAAATGGTCAAGGCTTTACAGACTGAACCAAATAGTATATGCAATGTATTATATCATAACCTCCTATTACCTCCTAACGAAGTAGACCATTGGTCCAAGAAACGTGTAGAGCAGTCTTTCTCAACCAGGGTCCGTGGAACCCTAGTGTTCCTCCAGAGGTTGCTAGGGGTTCCTTGAGGAGAGCGTAGTGGCTAATTTAAAGGGTGCCTACGATTTTCAGTGGTTTTTTTTTTCTGGCCATATTTACTATTTGTTCCATTTCATGATTATAACCAAATGTAATTTTATCATGTAAAGGGTTTAGGTGCTCCCTGTCCTTTATTTAAAACTCTCTGCAGTCTACCGATCATGTAAATGTCCCGTAGACTAAAGATATTAATTTAATGGGGGATCCCAAGAACTTTTTCAAGGGTTCCTCCATAGTAAAATGGTTAAGAAAGGCTGGTGTGGTTGTCCGCCTACTCCTCCTCCATGGTCGCTGGCGGGCCCCACCTCCTCCTCCTTCACCGGGCCCCGCCTCCTCCACTGCCGACGCCGGGCCCGGCCTCCTCCGCTGCCGACGTCAGGCACAGCCGCCTCCTCCGCTGCCGACGTCAGGCACAGCCGCCTCCTCCGCTGCCGACACCAGGCCCAGTCTTCTCTTCCGCAACTGCTGGCTGTCACTGACTCAGCAGCGGCTGTGAGGAGGAATGCGCCGCTGCACAGATCACTGACAGGTTGTCAATGATCTGAACAGTGGCGCATTCCTTCACACAGCCGCCAGTGACAGCCAGCAGCCTGAGATGCCATAGCGACCCAGGCAGCCCGCACGGCATCAGGGGGGCCCCTTTGTTCCTCGTCCTGGTCCGGCCCCCCTGTGCCCCATAGCGGCTGCCTGGGTCGCTATGGCGATTGTTCCGCCACTAGTTCGGGTAACATCAGTTGAGAGCTGACACCAGAATATGGTCTCTCCAAATGTCAAAATGTATTGACACATTTGAGCGGTCGGTGAGTTTAGACTAGAAGGTGTTATGCAATAGTGGTGCCGGTGGTGTGTCCTTTGCCTATAGACCTTGCACTTAAAGGTTTCCCTCTTTCTCATCTCAAAATTTGGGAGGAATGGCCAAAACTTCCATAGGGACAGGAACAGAGTCAATAACTATGGCAGGAAGATCTCACTGTTGGAACATCCAAGACCTATAACAAATCAGCCCTTCGACACACTCCACCTGTAGCTAAAATATTACTTCCGGGTATATAAACCCTTTCGGAAACTCTCTGGTTGTAGTTTCATTGGGAAAACAGGTTTCTGAACAGCAATAAAACCTTAAAAAAAGGCCCCATCTCTTCCTTGCTCTACACTGAGCTGAAAAAGAGAACGTTTTAGCTGGAATTAGGCTTTAATGACTTCCAGAAAACTTAGCGCTATAAATCTTTGCTTTAATATCCACCGACTGCAGAATGTTTGAAGAGTTACTTTGTATTTAATTTATGAAAACATTTTCTTGGCTATTTTCTAAAATGGGCCGATAACATTTCAATGGCTGCAGACTACTGACAGCTGTAATGCTTTAGCATGATGGAAGGTTCCCTTGGGTGTTTTTAATAATTTGCTGTTAGGGCAGACACAGCTTCGGTAAAGGCTTTGAAGGTCAAGGCTGCTCACCGGTGATATCCCTGAGAAATGTTGTATTCAGATTATAAGGATATTTAGTGCTTTGCTACTGATATCTTAAACAGGAATAACTGGTTGGTAGCAATGTAAGAACGAGAGGGAGCACAAGTTGTAACCTTCGCCACTTTCATGGTTTTGTGAAAGCCTTTGTGGCGTTTTTCCCCCTTCCCCAACCATCCTTTTTTTTTGTTTGTTTCATTCCACATTGGTAGTGATGAGCCAACTGACCTGGGTTCGGTTAGACATTCGCCAAACCCGGCCAGAAATCCGGGTTCGGTCAACATCCCAGCAAACCAAACCCAGGGCCATCTGTGTACTAGAAACCAATGATCACGTGTGACTCGCACAACATAATTAGTTGCTAGGATGCTAGTGGCACACAGCTTCATTGACTGCTAGGACGCATGGGGCGCTCCATAAAAAACAATTATTATTATTACTATTATACAGGATTTATAGAGCGCCAACAGTTTGCGCAGCACTTTACAATATAAGGAAGACATTACAGTTACAATACAATTCAAGACAAGATGGTAAGGAGGGCCCTGCCCCTGAGGGCTTACAATCTAAAACAATGAAAAGGTGTGGTCGCCAACGCCTTGCAACCAATGGCACTATGCAGGCCACCCAGTGTCATTGGTTGCTGAGACACTGGTGGTCCACAAAATCATAGGTTGTTATGGTGCACCAAGAGAGAAAAACATGCAGTGATGGAAAAGGCTGTGAATGACTTTGAGCAAACCAGGGGTGGAAATGGCAAAACTCATCCAGAATGGATGAACGCTACAGAAAGACCGAACTTGCATCCTGGATAGACTTACATGCTTTGGGGCCCTGCCCATGCATCAAAGACTCAGATAATAAGACTGATGATGAAGGCGCAACGTCCTTTAAACATTTAGGTGGATATATTTTCTATCCAGGTTGCAATCTGGGTCTTCATGTAGCATTCACCATTCTGGATGAGTATTGAAAGACTTACCTCTTTACCTCACAGTCATTCACAGCCTTTTCCATCACTGCCTGGTCTCTTTTTTTTTCTGGCTTTGCAGAAGTGATAATGTAACTGTACTGTGACCTTACATCCAACGGGAGTTCAATTACCTGGTTACCTGATCTGACCAAGTCACTTCTTTTGTAGGTGCAATTTATTTTTATTTTATTTATTAAAGGGTGTTCCATCTGCTCTATCTGGTGTGCTCTGTTTTGTTTCACTTTTATAGACCTGGGGAAACCCGCCCCGGGGATGTCATTCAGTTATTGTTTACATCTCTACTTTAAAAAAAAAAAAAAAGACTGAAGTCTATTAAGTACTTCCTTATTAGAGGTAGGAGACAGGAAGTCTCTTCCAATGATCTCCATAAGATTCCAGAGAGGTATAGGGTTCCTGCAGGAAAGATCACTGTATAGAAGCCATTTGAGTCCCTTTTCCAGTTTACAAGACCAAGTTGCTAAATTGTAACCAGGGCCGGTGCTAGACTATTTTGCGCCCTAGGCAAGACCAGCTACTTAGTTGCAACAAAGATCTGCGCTCTTGGAAGACTGCTAAAATAATAATAAATTAATAAACGGTCCTAAAGCTGCTATGAGTAAAATTAAACGTGATTAGTAAGTGTTAGCACAGCGCTATAGGTGTTTTAAGTAAACTAAGTAACAATAATTAAAACGAATTAGTGTTACAGTTAAATCCCATAAGGTGAACCATAAAGATAAACATGTAGTAATATATTTAGGTGAAGATCATAATATTCACAGTGAAAGAATAGTGTAAAAAATGTGTTTAAACCACTGAAGGGTCTTCAAAGAGACCTATTCAGTGTGATTAAAAGCATAACGCTACTAAAGTGATACAATGTGGCAGGAGTAATCTATTCAGTGTTAATAAATAACCTTTAGAGCATAAAGCTCCTTTAGTGATACAATGTGACAAATGATCAATGTAATAAAGCACTAATACATCATAACAATCTCAGTGATGTTACTAAGACCAGCTACTTGCATCCCCCCCAGCCCTCCTGCAGCGCCGCAGCCCCTAATCGACCTCCCCAAGCGGCTCCTTTGTCCTGCCAGCTAGCTTCCACAGGCGATAGATGGCTATAAGCAGCCGGGACAACTGCCAGACTGCTATTGGCTATTTTGATTTGAAATAGCCAATAGCAGACTGGCTTTTGAAACACCAGCAGCTGAGCAGAGGAGCGGACCTGAGAGAGAAAGTTCTCTTAGTATCGCTCCTCTGCTCAGCGGGCAGGTGCAATAGCCACTCTGCTATTGGCTTTTACAATTTGAA